ATATCACAAAAAAAAAGATTTTTTTTTTTTTTTTTTTGAGATATTGAATGGATCTGCGCTTCAACCTTTCTATGGAATGGATACTCAATTCCATAGAAAGGGTGAAGCGCAGATGCAACATCATGGAAACTTTCGTGCAATCAATCACTCTCTATCGAGCTGTCAGACAACCCCATGCACAGTGACCACAGTACACTGATATGTGTGCACATCTCCATTGACGACACCCCCAGTAGACTTACTCTTCTAATAAAGTACAGTTTTAGTGTAGACAACATTTGACACTTTTGACGTGTAAGTTTTACTTCCTTATTGTTTTCAAGTACAGTACCTGGTTTAATCATCATTGTGTAATTTACAAGATATACTGATATGAAATAGTATAATCCTGTTGTCTCTAAGTTGACATGGAAAAAAGTAGGCCACCTAAACCTAGGACCTATTTCCAGAGGCAGATTGGGGGGGGGGGGGGTAAGCGTACACCCCCCTATTTTTTTGCAAAAAAAAGAGAAAAAAAAAAAAAAAAAAAAAAAAAAAAATTACACCCACAGTGTTTAAGTTTTTTTTTCCTACCAAAAACACCCTGGAGAATGCTATTCATAAATCCACTTGGTGAGAAATAGAACACTTGTAATTTACTCAATGTTAATATACAGTAGCGGATTTTGTTGTTTTGACGACTTTTTTTTAACGGATTTTGGATATTAGTTTTCCTTTTTGCTGATTTTGTGATTTTTGTGCTCGATGTTGCTGAGAAACTTCATCATGTTTTCTAGAAGTGAAATTTCTCTTTTGAAATGGTGTACATTTATGAGCCTTTGCATGTTGTCATAGATTATGTTTGAGATGTTCGTGGAAGAGGCACTAAAACCCACAGCTGTAAAAAGATGAATTATTTTTAATTTAATGACACATTTCATAGTTACATATTGCAGGTACACTGTATATTAAAATTTCTTTTAAAAGACATATACGGTACCTATTTTTTTTTTTTAATTTGTTACTGAAAACTACCATGCTAGATAGTCAAAATCGACTCAATACAACCTCATATTCCTCAAATGTGCTGGGCTTCAAAGGGCTTCGCCCCCTTCGACCCCCCACCAGGGGCATCTTGGACTGCAGCATGGTTTCTAAATGTATTAACATCAATCCCAGACACACAGATCACCTGTGCTTTTTACATCAGAAAAACTTTAGTCGATGCTGCAACTGGAGAGCCCATCTTCCTTTCTTCGGAAGGTTCATCTTCATTTTGATTCTTTGTTTCAGTGATTTTTATTTTAAATGCTGTAATTTCATTTTCTTCTGTGATTGGTGTCAGTAGCGGCGCCAGCGGGGGGCAAGTGTGGCTTAAGCCCCCCATCGGTTTGTTCACGCCCACACCCCACCCCCTCATCGGCGAAAGCTTGTCGGGCAGTCGGACCAAAGAAAAAAAAATAGGCCTAGTTTTCCCATCCCAGCCATTTCCGGCAATCTAGAAGTCCCAATTTAAAAAAAAATCTTGTTTTAGGAGGAGGGGACACCCTCTTCCATACCCACCTCCGGCTCGGGCCTTCGGCTGCGCACTATAGTTACACCCATAAATACTTAGCCCCCCCCCCATAAATTGTATCCTAGAGCCGCCACTGATTGGGGTTGGGCCAACTAGCGCTGCTACAGTGACTCAGTTCACTTTGGTTGGTCCTGGTCTCCCCATTTTTGTATTGTTGACCGAATAAGTAATGAAATGAAATGAAATTGCATAAGTAACCAATTTTGTAAAAACGGTCAACTAATTACATTCCAGGACATACTTGTAGGCCTACAACCATGGTACACCATTACGAACTCTAAGTCGAACCTGTCTCTTATACACATCTAGATGTGTATAAGAGACAGGTATTGTACCGACTCGTTCGACTAGTCTAGTGTTTCCAATCTACTCATTATTAGGGTATTGTACCGACTCGTTCGACTAGTCTAGTGTTGCCAATCTACTCATTATTAAGGTATTGTACCGACTCGTTCGACTAGTCTAATGTTGCCAATCTACTCATTATTGTACCGACTCGTTCGACTAGTTTAATGTTGCCAATGTACTCATCGCCGGTATTGTACCGACTCGTTCGACTTGTCTGTTGCCAATCTCCTCGTTAGGCCTACGGTATCGTACCGACTCGTTCGACTAGTCTAATGTTGCCGATGTCCTCATTACCGGTATTGTTCCGACTCGCTCGTCTGATAAGATATATTTTTTCGTAAGTATCTTACTGTTGAAAGGTCGCACTTCTGAACGTCTTTTTTTCAGCAGACATCAACTGACGTTTGAAATTATCTTCTAAACTTCAAAAAACTTCACTACACAGTCGGGTTACGATGATCTTAATATACACAAGCAGCAAGCTGTACTATTTAAGTACAACTCAATGTTTAAAGACCAGACAATGAAATGAGAAATTCGTATAATAATCCTCAGGGAGGGTTTCAAATAGGACTACATTTACTATGAGAAAGAATATCTAAAATTAGAGCAAATATAAAGCGTTAAAATTATTGAAAAACATTGAGTATTTTCAGAACGAAATTAGATGATTAGAGATAGTGCTTTACTGTATATTAGCTATCGACCTGGGTAGAGCTGCAAATAATTATATTTTATAGGCTAATATAAACCATCTTACTAGAAACATCAGTAGACCTCTGAAAGTTGTTGAGGCCTATTAATAAATTGGTGATTATATCTCTTTGATATAGGCAAATATGATAGTAGTATAATAATAAACAGATGAATGCTTGCATGAATTCTATTCAAAACAGGCAGGTCAAGTAAGCTGTCTAGACTTTCATTATAGATTGATTCCAGAGAACTTGGCAGTATAGGCTAGCAATCACATGGACAGATGAACCAAGTGCAAAGAATGCTGCTTCTACGACCTTAGACCTTTTAGGAGGTTCATCATTCTACTGCTACATGTATCATATATCAGTAATGTTTAGGGGAGATGCCGGTTTTCACATCATGGAGTAAGGAATACGCTTATTTGAGCCAAAGAAGCCAACTTATGAGATTATCGATGCATATTATAGCCTATATAACGCTATATAAATAGGCCTAAACCATTATTGTTATTATTATTATTTTATATGGGTTCAATGGAGAATGATCAGTGCAACGTCAATGGTTCTGAAGCCCGAGTAAAAATCTCATTTGATTTGATTCCATTCCACTTATTAGTATCCTGTGCTAGTAGTAATAATGGTCGATTTATACTTAGAGTGCACATTGTGTTTGTGGGGATCTGTATGCGCTTATAAACGTACAAAAAACGGACCAAAAAGGCGATACTTCATAAAACTAAAGACTTGCCAATCATATTCTTTAAACTGAGCATGGTTGGACGTTGACTCCGAGGAGCACGTCCGCCCTTATACCTTTTTAACAAGGGAAAATGTTAAGATATCCAAAAGTGCCGAAAGAAGCTTATTGTTGGAGCAGCATTTTAAAGCTATCAACAACAATGATCAACAACTCTGGGGATGTAACAAGGCCTATAGTAACTTCGAGAGAATTTTATGTTCTGAGAAATGCAATACAGTAGGTAGAAAATAAACAACCTGGAAGTTTTTGAATTTATCGTCACCATAAAAAATAAAATTTAAAAAATGTAAACAAATTTGAAGTATTACTATACAGTAGGGTCTACTATATATAGAAGAAAGTCGACCTACACAGTACAGCACATCATACTCAAACCAAACATACGATACAGCACCTTTATAATAATTTACAAATAAGGTAACAGAAATGACCTGGGGTAATGTTGATACATTTCAAACTATCAAGTGCGACTGAATCGTACTAATTTGACGGGTCATTAACACTGGCGGTAAACAGAAATTTCAGTTCAAATTCTGGATTCAGATTCAAGTCAAACAGTGAAGGCCACGATCACACCACGCTCTGTTATTATTATTCTACTCCACGTCTGGTGTTTACTCATTAGGCCTACATTATGCCTATGGACTCGATTTTTTACATAAACCGTCTTTATTTAACGGAAATCTTAATAGAATATTATTATAATTTACGACAAAAATAATCGTGTTTTTTTCATTTAAAAGTTTTCTTTCAACGAGTTCAAAAACACAACTAAATTAGTATAATTAATTAGGGTTGCTTTTAGAAAAATACTAAGAATCTAAAAATTACACGGTACCGTAACTTATCTAATTCATGTAAATTTTGTTTTCACTGATTTGGTAAATGTAAAGGGAGTGTGGGAATTCTGAAACTACAGTTTGAGTTTCTTTTTCTGGCGACCTATTTCTTCTCTTATAAAAAGGATGTAAATTACTTAAATACGTGAAGGAATTCATTTGCTGATGTCTGGGTCTTAAGCCAATGTAAATGATAGCCTTGAAGAACCCCTGCTTAAAAGTTCACTAATCAAAAATACAGTACATGCACTGCATGGCATTGAATGCAACATGAGCAAAAGAAAATTTTCATTTTTGGTCTTTTGATGATAAATACATTGCCTCAAAACAGGTTTTTTTTTTAAAATCTTTCAATAAGTGATATTATATTATGACCAATAAGCCTATACTTATTATTATGATAATAATTTGGAT